TATCTAGACATCTCCTGCACAAGTTTTTCTAAACATATTTGTTTAGTCTTCATTTTCCTCCAAAGTACTTATGGCTAGCTCTATTCTACTGAAACTTGCATAACACATTATTTTATGAAGTTACAATGTGACAGCCATGTTTGTTGGTAGAGCTGACCCTCTTGGATTTGAATATGTTTATTAGATGGACTTGAAAAGCCTTTTTAAGATAATAAAATAACTTGAAGCCATATAATAAAAGTCACTTAGCTGAACACTTATAGTCTAGCAGGATTTAGCTGCAGTTTTGAAAACAAAGACTGATGGATTTTGGAGTGTAATAGCAGAATGGGAGCTGTACACAAGAAAAGGGTATAGAGTAATTTATGTATTGAATTGTCTTCTAACTCCTGCTGTGTGGTGTATTCAGTACATAATGGTAGGGTTAACTCACTTTCAGAAAAATTAAACAGAAAGAAAAGGCTAAAAGGTTTTCTATAACAAGATCATAATTGTTAGAAAATTGTTTATCACATGAATTATATACTACATTAAGTATTTCAGTCTGGCTCAGTAGGGAACTTACCTTTTATATATAGTACTACTGTTATTTTCCTTTTTTTTGACTTTCATGTTGCATCACATATGTCACAATGCCAGGTTCTGGTACATAATCCTCTCTTTTTGTTTGGAACATAGAATTGGACTTGATGTTAAACCACCCCCAGTGTATCAGCCCAAGGCTAGTTCCCATAACAATCAAAACTTTGTAGTCCTTCCAGATGGTTTTAAGGCCCATACTGGCATCTACCTATGTAAAGACAGTTGATCATTTTATTTTAAACATGTTCCAAGAAATATTTCTCTCCAACCACTATAATAGCACAGTACAGCCAAACCTGAATGTTAACATTTTTAATTATATTGCAGCATGCCAAATGATTAAGAACAAAAAGTGACAGAAGGAAGCCTTGCTTAGTGAACTTTAAAATTGTCTTTAAAAATAACCTCTGTTCAGATACCTAAAAAGAAATGCTAATTGCTGTACTTGTTTCCCATGCAGTTATAAGCTATACTGGTATAATTACTTCCACTTTGTTGGGGTTTTGCAGCTTTAACTATACCAGTTTTGCATGTAAAACTTTTTTCTTTTTCAAAGAAGACTGAAAGGGTATACAATGCTGTAAGATCTGCAACGATCATAAGACTTTGCACTTACCATTGATAAATCTCAAAGCGCTTTTCAATGGTTTTACAAAGGAAGAAACTGAGGCACATTGGCCCCAATTCTGCAAACACATACACACCCATGTAAGCGTTGCAAGATCACGGTAACAGATGCTAAAAGTATGTCTACACTACCAAAAAAAAAAAAATCACAACCCCAACAGCTGGGTCAACTGACTTGGGCTAATGCTATGGGGGCACAAAATAGCTGTGTACATATTCCTGCTTGGGCTCTGAAACCTGGGGAAGGGGATGGGTCTCAGAGCCTCGGTGGGAATGTCTACATAGCTATTTTTACCTGCATAGTATAAGCCCAAATCACTTGATTCACACTCCAGGACTGGCTGCTAAGGTTTTGGGTTTTCTTTGCAGTGAAGACACATCCTAAGCGACTTCCCCCAAGTATCACTGCACCTCAGTGGCAGTCAGAAATAAAATCCAGGTCTCCAGTTGCCCAACCCCATGCTTAGTTCACAAGAGCATACATGCTAACCTTATCCCTGCCCCTTTCAAGGGGATTCCCAACCATTAACATATTCTGCTGTAAAACCAAAAGCTTCAACACCTATCTGAATGGTATTGTTAACCTGAATATATTTTACTGCAGCCTTTTATAAGTTTTAGTGAATACTGTTCCTCCTTCCCCAACAAGCAAAACACTCTTATACCCACAGGAAGTCCTACTATTGATAAGAACCCAGATTTTAAGCTCACGGTCAGGGTCTCATTATCTTTAGTAATACAAGCGTCTTGTGCTATATTTACTCCTGGGGGAATTCTGCGCCACTGCGGATGCACAGAATTCATGTGCCACGCAGATTTTTTTTCCCCACAGAAAATACATTCTGCCAGAAAGGTGCTGCAGTTACTCCTTTCACTCACCAGGAGCCACTGTTGCACCAGAACAGAGCAGCCACTCCCAGGCAGGAGTAGCCCCAGCTGAAGACAGGGAAGAGAAAGAGGCTGCATTCCTCACAGCACCCTGCCTGTGGGGCCAGGTCAGGAGGCATGGGATATGGTAGGAGAGACAGCATGGGGTACATGGGGCTACAGGGGGAGGGTCAGACTCGGGTTCAAAAGGGCTGGGGGGAACAGACTGGGGCGGGGCTGAATGGGATTTGGGGTGCAAGGACACAGGGGGACAGGGGAAGGAAGGTGGATGCAGGGACACATGGAGGGAGTGGGGGCACAGGGGCATATGGGGAAGGAGTGGGTGAGTGAGGGTGCAAGGATTCATGGGGATGAGGGAGAGGATGCAGGGCCACATAGGGACAGGGGCAAATGTACCTGACTGAATGAGAGCATGCTAGGGTCTGCATGGCGGACGCTCCCTAGCAATCCCTTCCCACCACAAAAACCTGTTCCATACTTCTCCCACTCACACCCAACCATCCTCCAAGTTTTCTGGGTGTGGTTTTGGGGTGAGGGTTGAAAGAAAGTCGGGGGAGAGGTAAGCAGCAACTCTTCTGGAGTAGAAAGATTTTTGAAGGGCTGTTATAAAATAAGCCTGACCCCTAGAACTAGTCAGATCTTTCCCCCACAAAGTCCTAATATTTTCAAATATCTTGAAACACTAAGGCCAGGTCTACATTTGAAAAGGTCTGCTGGAATAGCTATTGCTGCAAACCTCCTAGAGTAGATGCAGGAAAGAAGTACGTTTGCCAGTATAGCTTATACCAATTTGGCAAACAAAATAAGCTACACAGTCCTAAAGCACTTTTATGCTGGTATAATTTCATCTACCACAGGACTTCTGCAACTATAGAAATGTCACACACACAAAAATACACCCCAATCAACATTGCTATCTGGGCAAAAGTTTATAATGTAGAGCTGTTCTAAACCACAGATTGCATTATGAAGGGCTCTGAGAATTGCTCAGGTATAGAGTTAGTCTTCCTAACACTATAGGTATGTCTGTGTGGTAGAAGGATCTGGTGCTGATAAATACCTCCTCTGTAAAACACTGAAATCTATATGTGACAAGCAAAAGATGAGAGCTAAACATTATCATGATTAGAGCTGATTAAAAATAATCCAACAATTTCTCAATTCCCCCTCCTCCATAGCATTTCAAAACGTGATAAAAATTAACCAGCTCTACTAATGTGGGAAATGCTGTTGTAAACTCAAAAAGGCAGGGAGGGGAAGGAAGGGCAGTGTTTCTAAATCCTTGCAGTTTAGCAACCCTTCTTGACTGTGTGTTTTGGGAGCTTGCCACAGAATACTTGACACTAAGGGACATACAGTGAGTAGTGTGTGCATGCAAGATTTTCTTTGCTTTAGATTGTAACAAAACTTTCAATGCCTAGTGACCCGAGGGCCTTTTTTGAATCTCGAGGGGGGTTACAATCTAGTGGTTTGCAAAAGGCACTGGACTGGGATTCAGGAGACCTGGGTTGGATTTTGGCCTCAGGCACACAGATTCTCTGTAACCCCACTGTCTAGGGACTGCAGCTCAGGTGTGGGAAAGAAAAAAACCCCCAAAAACCCAACAGGATATTGCACATGCTGCAGTAATAGAGGCCATACAGTCCTACAGGTGGGTGGCTCGTAGGGCTGGGAGTTGGGACACCACTGGGGCTTTGAGGTGACTCCAAGTTTTCTCTCGTTTTCAGGTGTTTGCCTGGCTGGCTCTTGCTCATGGTCTTATGCTCCAGCTGATCTCCCTAGGAGGGGTCAGAAAGGGATTTTTCCCCAGATTGGCAGGGACCTTGGGGCTTTTCGGCCTTTCTCTGCAGCACCTGTAGGTAATCTGCCAGTATCATCTGCACCTATCTCACTGAATCATTTCCCTGCCATGGGGGGGTGGGGTGTTGGGACACTGGTGAGCCTGGTCCCGCCTATTCTCTGCCCGTGGCCCCTAACAGCCTAGTCCCGTGTCAGGTGGGCCTGTGACACACACACACACAGGGGGTCAGAGCAGAGGAGCTGGTGACCCCTTCTGTGAATGGCGGGCTTAGGGCCTGCTCCCATTGACTTCACAGGGGCAGGATCTGACCCCAGCCAACAAGCGAGGGGTGTGTGTGCGGGTCACGCCCCGCCCCCTACGAACAAGTCAAGGGGGGGGGGGGACCAGCCGCCTCCCTTAACCCGCAGCCCTGTTCCCTCTACCCGTTCCCAGCAGGCATCAGCCCCACTCGCCCCCCCCATCCTCCTCACCTCCACTCGCACACCACCCGCCAACTCCCCCTCACGGGGCGACCAACCGGCAGCCGCCAACGCCTGCTGCCCGCGCGCGAGAAACCCCGGGTCAAGGGCAGTCCGAGAAGCCGGTGCAGGTCCTTTGCTAGGGAGAGGTGGTGGCTTAGTCAAACGCCTGTCTGATTCCCCAGAGCTACTCTCCTCCCGGAAATCTCCTAACGGGGATTTCAAGCTGGTTTTTACACAGGAAAATGCCCGGACAACGGGACGTGTTAAAAACATGTCAGGTCCCTCAGGCAGCTGTGTAGGCACCTATATAATCCAAACCCTAACGGTCGGAGGAAGGCCAATTACATACGCTTTTTGTAATCTGCTTCTCCCGCGAGAGGGAATTATCATCCCAAAGCCTCCCCACCTCTTTCCAATCGATTTAATCGTGGTTAACTCAAATCCCCTTGCTTTTAGCACAGAACCGATCTTTCGTTGGCCATCCCGGGTCACGTGACACCGGAGGGCCACTAAGGGAAACACCCGGATGTCAATGGGTGTTGCCATTCCAAGTGGAATAAAGGCCTGGGGTGGTTTGGTCGCCATTTTGGATTGAGGCAAGGAGACGCCATATTGGATTGGGGCAGAGAGGCTCCATCGAGCGGCCATTTTGGATAGGGGCAGAGAAGCCGGTGCAGGCGAGCGAGAGCGACACACGCGGTGTGGGGAGGGGCTGGAGCGTGAGTATCCCCCCCCGGGCCCGTTCAGATCGGGCGGATATGCCCCTGTTTCTACTGCAATATAATCTACTCCCAAAATAAACACCCCTCCCCCGCACACCTCCAGGGGCCCCTGCCCCCGATGACCCCCCCGCCTCCAGCTCTCTCCTGCTCAGCGCACCCTTCCCCAGCTGTTGCCACTGCTTGGTGTTCAGTGCTCAGTCCTGCCCCCTGCAGTGAATGGCCAATCCATCGCCCCTGGGTGCCCACCCCTTACATTCACCCCCCAACCGGTCTCTGCTCCCTTTGCATTCACCCCCAAGCCAACCCACTGCATGTTCCCTAATTGCTAGTGTTGTTTGTCCCCTTTGCAGTCACCCACCCCCAAACTTCCCTGCCCTCTTTGCATTCACCCGCAAACCACTCCACCCCCAGTGCTATCTGAATTAGAATAATCAGACATGTAGATGAACACAATTTGTTGGGGGAAGAGTCAACATGACTTTTGGTGAACACCTCCCTTGGTGTTCACACCTCAACTGCTAGCAGAGCACCTCACCCTCCCTGATTGAACTAACCTCGTTATCTCCACACTGATATATACCTGCCTCTGGAGATTTCCATTACTTGCATCTGAAGAAGTGAGGTTCTTACCCATGAAAGCTTATGCTCCCAGTACTTCTGTTAGTCTCAAAGGTGCCACAGGACCCTCTGTTGCTTTTTACAGATTCAGACTAACACGGCTACCCCTCTGAAACATGACTTTTGTAAAGGGAAATCATGCCTCCCAATCTATTAGAATTCTTGGAGGGTGGTTGACAAGGGGGAATCCAGTGGATATAGTGCAGTGGCTCTCAAACTTTTTTATTTGTGACCCCTTTCACATAGCAAGTCTCTTGAGTGCGACCCCCGCTTATAAATTAAAAACACTTTTTTATATATTTTACACCATTATAAACGCTGGAGGCAAAGCGGGGTTTGGGGTGGAGGTTGACAGCTCACAACCCCCCATGTAGTAACCTCGTGACCCCCCTGAGGGGTCCCGACCCCCAGTTTGAGAACCCCTGATACAGTGTACTTGTACTTTCAGAAAGCCTTTGACAAGGTCCCTTGCCAAAGGCTCAGATACAAAGTAAGCAAGTAGTCATGGGCTAAGAGGGAAAGCTCTCTCATGGATTGGTAACTGGTTAAAAGACAGGAAACAAAGGGAATGAATAAATAGTCAGTTTTCAGAGAGGAGAGAAAGTTAAATACAGTAACTCCTTGCTTAATGTTATAGTTATGTTCCTGAAAAATGCGACTTTAAGCGAAACAATGTTAAGCAAATCCAATTTCCCCATAAGAATTAATGTAAATGAGGGGGTTAGGTTCCAGGGAAAAAAAATTCACCAGACAAAAGACTATATTTTATATATATATACACACACAGAGTATACGTTTTAAACAAACAATTTAATACTGGTACACAGTGATGATGACTGTGAAGCTTGGTTGAGGTGGAGGAGTCAGAGGGTGGGATATTTCCCTTACTGCTAAATGATGAACTAGCAATTGGCTGAGCCCTCAAGGGTTAACTCTCTCTCTACACAAGGCAGCAGGAATGGAGGGAAGATATGCGCATTTCCCTTAAGTACACTGCCTTATTAATTAGATCAGCTTGTTGAGAGGGCAGCTGCTGCAAGCTCCCTCCGTCTTGATCCCTGGTGTCCCGTCCCCCCCCGCTCTATGGAAGATGGGCTAAGTGGGGTGCAGGAGCAGGAGGGAGAGGAACATCCTGACATTAACCCCCCCTCTTCTTTCCCTCCCCCCTGCACAGCAAGCAGGAGTCTCAGGGAGCAGCTCCAAGGCAGAGGGCAAGAGCAGCACATGGCAGTGGGGGGAGGAACACAGCTGAACTGCAGGCAGCTGCTGGACAGGGAATTTAGGGGAGTGGGGAGCTGATAGGGGGCTGCAGGTCCACCCTGGTTCCAAGCCCCCACCAGCTAGCTGCAATGGGCTGCTCTTCCTGCAAGCAGTGGACAAAGCAGACGGCTGCCAAATGACGTTAGAAGGGAGCATTGCACAAACGAGCATGTTCCCGAATTGATCAGCAACATAACAATGAAACAACATTAACCCAGATGACTTTAAGTGAGGAGTTACAGTAGTGGGGTCCCCTAGGGATCTGTACTGGGACCAGTGCACACTTATTCATATTCATAAATGATCTGGAAAAAGGGGTAAATGCTAAGATGGCAAGATTTGCAGACAATATCAGGATAGTTAAGTCCAAAGCAGACTGTGAGGAGTTACAAAGGGATCTCACAAAACTGGGTTACTGGGCAACAAAATGGCAGATAATATTAAATGTTGATAAATGCAAAGTAATGCACATTGGAAAACATAATCCCAATGGTCTATACAAAATGATGGGTTCTAAATTAGCTGTTAGCACTCAAGAAAGAGACCTTGCAGTCATTGTGGACAGTTCTGTGAAAACATTCACTCAATGTGCAGTGGGAAAAAGCTAAGAATGTTAGGAACCATTAGGAAAGTGATAGATAATTAGGGTTACCATATTAAAACATTTAAAAAAGAGGACACTCCACGGGGCCCCAGCCCCGCCCCTTCCCCCGCCCACGGCCCCGTCCCAACTCCGCCCCGGCCCCGCCCCAACTCCGCCCCCATTCCAACCCCTTCCCCAAAGTCCCCGCCCCAAGTCCGTCCCCTCCCCTGAGCGTCCCGCATTCATCCTCCTCCTCCCAGCCACGCGAAACAGCTGCCCGAGCGCTACTGGCTTCACGGTTTGCCGGGCAGCCCCCAGACCTCCAGACCCTGTGC